GAGACATTTTAGCTAGCCAGAAGTTCTAGGCGTTGTTAGCGATATGTGCTACCACAGGAGGCAAGCCTGGTTTAGGAATTTTCGAACAGCCAGTATTTATACTATGGCCTGAAATAATCAGAAAGTAGAACAATGTGCAAGTAGCAACTTTTCAACATTCAAAATGATAATGTTAACGTTCTAGGATGTTCCTTTTCTACTTATTCCTGAACTATTGGTGGGAGCTTTTAAGGCTGTCTGTTATTGCAGTACATTTGTATCATAATTATATTGGAATCAGCTCGGTTTGTACTGGTGCTCGCATGTGCTGCCACCTGAGCTGCCTTGCATGCACGTAAAATCCACTCGTCTGAAAAATACACGGTGTAAACGTTACGGTAGTCATTATGTGCTTTATATCGACCACAATCACCACAATCTTACTAAATTTTATAGTCAAATCTAAAACGTCTTAAAATTGGGTAAGTAACAAATAAATGGCATTAAGTTTTTCTAACTTAAGCCAAAATTTATAGTCAGTAAGTCAGTGAGTTTCATTAAATTAAATATCATATCGAACCGGCAATCCATCGCAAACGGTAACAGTGGTTAGTATGTTGTTTTGTTTTTGTTCGCGTACGTCGCGTCGTCGTGTCTATTTAAAATGATCTTGAATCAAGAGTTCGCCGACATATTGTTAGTTTACGGTGAAGCTCGTCAGAATTTAAATCTTGCAGCTCAAACTTATCGCGACAGATTTCGTCAAGGGGTACACACAGACAGAAGGAGATTTGTGCAAGTGTACCAAAGACTTCAAGATACAGGAAGTGTTCAGCCCACTAATATTAGCACTCGTGAAAGACAGGTTACTGTAGAGCAGGAGGAACAAATTTTAAATATCATAACATAACATTCTGTTAGTGGTTTTTGCACAAAAACATTGAAAATCCGGATTTTTTTAAAAACATTCTAGCGACGGACAAATGTACTTTTACGCGTGACGGGATATCAAATTTCCATAATTCTCACACATAGGCCCAAGAAAATCCTCATACCATTCGTGAAGGTCATATAGAAGCTTGTGTGGAAAGTAGAGGACAACATTTTGAACACCTTCATTAAATACAAAAAAAGTGCAGTGTGGGTTTTAAAAAGAAAAACAATGTATGTATCAAAACTGTGTTCCCTATTTATAAGTGGATTTTTTTAATACGTTCAATAAGCTTTCACACACCAGGTGAAGCGCTGAGACAGTCAGTTGGAAGTCCGTTTTTTTAATTGTTTGCATTTCACGAGTACATCATCAAATAATGAAATAATACCTAAGAGCCAAAAATTACAAACTGAATCTTCATTTGCACTGCGTTCCGTCATAATTTGCGTCTGGCATTACGGCGTTGTCAGATGTTATTTTACTTTAAAGTCGATTTTCTCTAAAAAAATGTCGCTTTGACCCCCTCTATCACCCATTTAAGTACTGACTATCATAACGTTTACACCCTGTATTAGCCAGAGTGGTTTTACTGGTCCGCAGATTAATATACTCTGGTAAAGCTCTGGAAAGTCCTATTGCAATCCCCGAAAGCGCGACCTCGTTCGACATAGCGCAGATTCAAACTAGATGCTATTACGATTTCCAGAGCGACAATGTTGCTGGACAAAGAGACTGCGACATAAATTCGAGCGCCTGCGACAAAGAGTCAGAACAAAGAATCCCAGTGCGTACTAGCCTAAAGTGTTCAATATTCATACATCTCCTTTGTAACATCTATCTTATCCGGCGCGCAAAAACAGTAAATGGAATGCGGCAAAAACTACGGTTATTGTTTAGGTCCTTAGGGACTGTCTGGGACGCAACAAGGTCCCATACTGTTGGCTCACTTGGATACGGTTTACATATATTTTTTTAATTTATGAAATAGATCGCGGAATCAAATATACGAGGGGTGGTCATAACGTACAACTCTTGTATAACGTGCTTTGAACTTCAACTATATCTTTCGAATGCCAAAAACAGGTGTCCCAAAAATAAACATTTAAATAGTGCTGTCTGACTTTGTTAAGTTATAATATAACGGGTAGCTGGAAAATAAGTGCTCTCCTATGTCATCGACAAAAATACTCAGGGTCTGTCTCAATTTGCAAAAACTATGTCTTCCAAGAAGTAATGTATTCATAAAGCAGTTGTAGTGGAAGTAAATACACTAGCCCACAATGAGTAGCTTTGGCTCATCTAGTGAGTGTACGTTTCCAGAAAGCCGTGAACTGCATGTTTAATTTACTATAAACAGATCGATAGAATCATCTTATAACATTGTAACTGATATTTCGGCAATTTCAGCATTTTCGGCGATTTGGATAGATTATATTTGATACTTTTAGTCAATTTTAAAAAATTGGCGCTTCTTTAGTACATGTACAGGGTGTACAAGATAAGTACTATGCAAGGGGCTCTCAATACATGTGGAAGATACAGCTTAGATTAAATTTGGAAAAAGTCCGTTGAGGAGCTTCGGAAAAACTAAATCTTGGACAAATCATTTTTATTGCTTTGTCATTATTTTAAGAAGTATAAAAAAACTAATGAAACTTTTCCTTTGGCAATTTTTGAGAAACCGTCATCAACTTCATTACAGTACAACTGTATCTAATGGCATTTTTTATACGAATTATCACATGTTGCATTTATTTTCTTGATTATAAAGAACTCTGACATATCAACTAGGCAAATTGAGAAATATGTAGGAGTAGTCACATCCACAGTCCAATTTGTTTTGCGTAAAAATAGATATCACCCTTATAAAAAATGAAGCAACCGACACAAAATTTAATAACACCATCATGAAGGGCCTATAAAGTGCCAATTAACAAAGTTCCATTTGTTTTTTGATATTTTTCAAAATAAAGTCAGAAAAAAATTAAAAAGATTTGGTCAGATTTTATTTTATCGTAAACATATCAGTAAGCCACGAAGTTCTTACAAATTTCTCAACGGCAAAGAACGCAGCTTTCTTCTAACTTAAGGTCCGTAACGTCAGTCGTTCATACAATCGTAGGACACCTTTATGGCCTGCTTGATTATCATAGGCTTTTCTCTTCTTCAGACTTCTGCTGATCCATGTCAGCGTTATTTTGGGGTTATGTTTGCTTTTTGAATCTTAAGAAATTCCAGGTTTAAAGAACATATGATAAAAATCAAGTTTCATCAGCCTGAAACTTCTTAGACTTCAAAAAGAAAATATAACCTCAAAATAGCTCGCGGACACGAAACAGTGGAAATCTAGAAATCACATGACTATGAAGATTAAGGAGGCCATTTAAGGCGATCTACAATTCGACCCCTGCGAGGAAGACTGTTGTAACTCAGTTTTTGTTGAACTGAGATATAGACATAACCAGATTTTCTGATGAATTTCGTTATCAGAAAAATAACGATCTCATCAAAAATATGTTGCAGATTGCAGTAATGCTTGTATATAGAAGGTTATGAATATAATCTAGCGAATATAACAATTTTTTGGTTAGATCTTGTTGACTTGGTAGGACATTTCAGTATATGTCCCATCATTTACAATTTTAGTATGACTGTCAAAATATCGTGCGGTCATTCACATTTTGTGGCAAAATATATTTTAGAATAACATGAAGGTAGATTTAAATGTTTTGCATCGGTTTCACCATATTCCAATGCCTGAAAGCTCTGGTAAGTGAAATTACAATCTTTTTTCAGGTAGAAAATGACCATAACACTAATTGCATTCGATTTTACGATTACGAAAAGTTGCTCAAGTTGCAAAAACGAAACTGCGCCATATTCTTCCATGGTTAGACAGTAAAAAGAAAAATTTGCTCATATTGTATTTACCCAATTTTTGCTGTTTTGTGCTGGGATGACACATACGAGTATAATGTAAGCCAGATCACTATATTAAACATTTACCTGAAGTTGCTAAAAAAAAACAACGCCAAGTGGGTTGACTCTGCTCTTCCTACACAACACCGTCATCAATTCGTAAAGGATTAAGTTCAGCGCAATTTATCTCCTCAGAAAAAAATTGAGTTACAGACATGTACAACAGAGAAACTAAATTTATTAAGTCGGTTAAACAGTACCATTTGATCAGTAAACCGAGATTACTTCTCTGCCCTTCTGCTAGTTACCGAGCATGTGGCGACGTTGTCCCTTCCCAAATCTGCGCGTCATCCTAATCAAACGTAAAAAAACGGAAATTAGCGGGTTTTTTTTTCGTTTTTGGCGTTTTTTTCCGCCGCCACTGAATCGATTTCCAAAAACTATTTGTCTCCTGTCTTTTGTATCCTTAACATAGTGGTAACAATGTATACAAATTTCATTGAAATACGAGCGGTCCTTCTGATGTTATAGGCGGTTATAAGACAGACAGACCGACGGAAATGAGTGACATAGTTTTCGTGACGTACTCATACATATCATATAACATGCAAAAAACGTAATATCTCGCTTTAGAAATTTTTCGCGTATACAATACTATCTCGCCTAGTAGCGTAGAGAGTAAAAATTGAAATGGCTCTTCTGAAAAGCTTAGATGCATGTATCGAGATATGGCTCGGCTTTTGGCCTTGCTAGCATCAGCGTTCTGCATTCCTTATTATACTCTTCCCACCACATAATGATCAGTCTAAATAGCAATGTGACTAAGAAATACCGAATTTGAAAATCTTATCCAATTTCTTGAGTAATCCAAGTCATGTGGAAGTTCCCTGGGTATCCTGCAACCACCAAATTCGCCACCTTCTTGCAGAACAGGAGCGTTAGTTGTAAACTTTCGCGCAGGCTTCTTACATACAACACTTAAAGTGGGGCAGAAGCTGGTTCAACAGTAGAGGGGATTTGAAGTTTTGTGGAAACTTATGCAGTCGCGGTTAGAAGAATCCTTAGAAATTCTACCCAAGTGCAGGTTCACGCTTTGTACCGCATGCCAAGATTTTCACAGAAATGTATTTTTACTATGCATATTTTAAGGTTAAATAATAAACTGAATGGTATTGAATTATTTAATAGTCAAAGTTATTTCCACAACAGAAAAAATATGCTAGATTATGCTACGCTTATGTCGAACAAAGGTCATATTTTGGGTGTGACATTGAAAGACTTATTATATTTCAATGACCTTGTCTCGAAGTTGGACCTTTATATCGACCTTGTAATAATTTTAATCATGGCATGATCGCCTTCCGCTTAAGAAAGTACATAAAACACCTTTCCTCTGGTCTATAGACGAACGGATTCGCGAAAGGCTTGGTATATTTTTCAGCTGTGATTCTTAAACTGCATTAACCTTACAGGTACAATAAACAGGAGATAATCGGTCAAATCTAATTAAAGCGAAGCTTTTAATAAATCAAGTATTACTCTCTATTCGCATTTCATTGTATGTCGCTCATTTTGTAATACCTATCTGTGGAAAATACACAACAAAATTATGAAAAGGGCTTTACCAACTAAAACAAAATGGATAAATAGAAGGCTCATATAGAATACCGGTAAATATTTTCTGTGAAAGCAAAATATAGCTCAACGTATTATATTGAATTACTCTACCCAACAACAAAAATTGCCTATATGTAAATGGGATGAAAGGTTTTTTATATGGCAGGAATACCAATAAAGTTGAGAGAGTAGAACGAATGGAATAAATGTACATTTTCCGTCTTCTCTTTCAAAATGGGAATGATGGGGAGTAGGGGAAGATGTTGTATTTGCTAAGAGGCAGGTACTTTTATTGAGTATAGTCTGAAAAAGTTTAGAATTTCACATTGGGAGATATTTTGCGTTAAAAAAGAGGGAAACACACCTTGACATTACGTGAACTTACGATAGCACATAAGCCGACATAAACTATAATGCATACTAACGAGATGCAAAATACCGCTTACATATATACAGGTTTCTATTTACAAAAAAATAATTATTATCATCTAACACCATAAGTCAGTTAATCCGTTAGCTTGGAATTTGATACGTGAAGCGGCAATATCGTTTTCCATCTCAAACATTTGCCATTGTGATGATGGTCTTCAATTCTACATATTCCTGACTATGAAGTGAGTTAAGAAATGCGTGTGATCAATTGTGCCCAGTATTTTGTTTCTCCTGCAGATGCAAAACTTCATCCAATTTTTTAGATAGAGTTTCCACTCTCCTCGACAATCGACTCATCTGACGTGTGAGGTATGTTACATAATCATCATCTTCAGTTGTCTGATATGAATTAATACATCCAAATCCGTACACATTATCATCTTCAGTGATATTTTCTTTTATGAAGTGAATATGTTTCTTCTCTAAATGTTCAATCAAATCTAACAAAAAATCGCATGAAAGTTGATTTCCTCGAAAGTCTACTCTTTTAAACTGCAGTCGTTCTAATGCGTTCAAATCCAAATCACTTATTCGGTTATTACTAAAATTTAAGTTTTCAAGGTTGTCTGTAGCGTGGAATGTATACAAAGGCAACATTTCAAATTTATTATTAGAAATATTGAGTGTTGTTAACGTTCGCAAATTGTCGAAAGTTCCAAAATAAAAGCTGTCAAGGCTGTTGCCAGAAAGATCAAGAATAATGAGATTTTTCAGGTCTTTGAAAGTTGATACGTCTATCCTCCACAAATGATTCCCACTAATATCGAGCTCACGTAGATTTTTCAGTGATTTGAAGTGTGATAGTGATAGGTGAGATAGATGGTTATATGACAAATTAAGAATTCGTAATCTTTGCAAATTGTCAGACCATCCTTCATGTAACTTAAAAATTACATTTTTTGAGAGATCTAATTTTCTCAAATAAACTAATTTCCTAAATGTTTCGTTTTTAATCGTTTGCAGGTAATTGCCTTGTAAATGTACAAACTCTAACCTCTCTAGGGAGTCAAATGCTCCATCTTCAATAAATTTGAAGCCAATTTTCTGTAAAAATATGTCACAGATTAAAATATTTATTCCCTGATCCAATCTGAGCATTGAATTAGTCAATATTGTTATGGAAACATTTGCAGGTGGTTTCGTGAGAAAGAGTCTCAGCCTATCGAGGCTGCACCTATCCCATAAGTCTTCGAAAGTCCTGTTGATAACAGTCTGTAAGTGTGACTTAAGGTTCTCTTCCAATGTACAGTTGACGTTCAGAAACGTGGGTACGTCGCAGACCTTCAAATTAGTTGATTTGAAACCACCGTTTTCGGCGTTCAGATTTTCGTCGCGAAAGTCTGTTGTACAATCAGAAGCACATGTAGCAACCAGATTCAGTAGGATAAGTCCAAGGAGTGAATTTTGGTGAGCGTGCCCCATAATTGGTTTCAAAGCTGTAAAAAGAGTTTTATTGAATAATTCTACCTTGATATAATCGTTTCAGCAAAAAACGCGTAATAAATATAACACTCTTCCACCGACTCAAAACGTATATCATGAACTGTCCATTACAGAGACTGTTTTGGAGAAACGTGGCAATATTTAAGTGGTATAAAATGAATTGGACGGTAACACGAAAGTTTGTATAAACATGGGTCCTAAAATGTCAAGATACAGGGTGTTGAAGCTAATTTTGAAATCGAAATAACTGGCTTCAGGTAGGTTGAAACATTAGTCCCTAGACAATTTTTAAACCACTTTTTTTGCCTACACTGCCGATAGTACCATCCTTCTGAGAACGTCGCCCCTCCCCCAGACTCGGCAGCGTGGCAGTGACGAAACGTCAGATATTTTTCTATCAATCTAAGTCAAATATTCGGGGAAAACTGTCACGTGTGAAATACATCTAATGTGTGAATTAAATTATCAGTGCTGGAAGCATATAAATATACTACCACAAAAAAATTGAGATATACCCCAACTTCACAACATCCAACCCCAAATTTCCAACTCCTTCAAAATAATAAATATTTTTCAAAATGAATCATCAAAAAACGAATTTGAGCGGTTCTTGTTTTTTTTGCCCGCTCATCTTCCCCTGGACCGATTTTCAAAAACTACAACTTTCGTCATTGGCGTAATACTAACCTTATGTCAAAATTTTATCAATATCCGAGCCAAGGATACCGGACAGACAGACCGACAAAAATTAGTGACTTAGGTTTTTCGTGATGTACATGTCATATAACATCCAAAAATGTAATATCTCATTTTCCAATTTTTTGCGATTGCAGTACTTGCAGTATAGTAACAATTGATAAGTACAAAAATATTTATGCCTTAGACTATACTGGGTCATGAAAATTGAGGAATCTTAAGCGATAAAGGACAAAAAATGCCATGAAACATGTTGACCCTGCACCTCCTAGACAATGTCGTCATTATTTCATAAAGGATCAAATTAGTTACAAACGTGTACAAGAGAAACAATAAATGGATCAAGCAATAAGCCCCTTCAATTAGTCCGTAGACATTCTTTCAGCAGACCGTTACGCCAGACGCTGAGCTCAGATAGCAGAAGGAGAAGCGTATCGAAAACATTTCTCTACTATTCTTCAAGTTTTAAAGACAAATGTTTGGGAAAACCTATGATGTGCTGATGTGTGAAATATGAGTATAGGTGCGTAAAATACCTGGCAACGAGCAAGGGGTCTTGAAAATGCGTCAGCAAGTCATGACTGTCGGTCTCAATGTCTGTTGCAGATGGACTGTGAGATGCAGGTGGAGTGATTCTGTTGGCAACAGGTGATTCTAATAATCTGAGCGGTAATTCTAGACGGGCCAATGGTTACTGGACAGACAGTCAGGAAAAACGGGTTTTCGCTATGTATATATAACATATAAATAACATAATATCTCAACATTTTCCTCATTACAACAATTCCGGTCAATGGCATAGGACGTAAAAGAAAATTATTTTCTACGCAACTGACTTTTTTGAAACATCTATTGCAATTTTTAATATGGTATTTGATCTTACATGAATCTCCTTTCTCTACTACTCCTTTTAAAGAAAAAATTGTTTGAGTATTTGACGTAAAATCCGTATGAAAAACCTTTAACCGACTTCGTACCTCTATACATTTCCAAGACCCTATTGGTTGCGGTCAACAGAAACAGCAGACATATGATATTCCACAACATATACTTTGGTTTTTCGGAATCTGCATTTCATTTTGTATTAAGTTATTTCACTGACAGGAGTCAGATGGCTGTGTTGGGTCAAGTATCTCGGAGGAGATACCAGTTAAACTAGGGGTACCACAGGGTTCCATTCTGGGACCATCATTGTTCTCAGTTTACATTTCTGACTTCCACGAATACGTTGAACACTGCAGTATTCATCACTATGCTGACGAGACTCAATTGTAGTTTGGCTTTGATATTAAAGATTTAAAAAATGCCGAACATTTGATTAATAATGATTTAATAAATTTACCTAACGTATCTTGTGCCCATAATCTCAAAATGAACCCATTAAAATCATCCGCAGTTATATTTGGACCAATAATGAAAAAAAGTCAGGCAAAACCATTACTTTCATTGAGCATTTCAGATCAACCCTATAAAAAATGAGTGCAAGAACTTAGGACTCTTGATTGATTCTGATTTGAGGTTTGAAAAACACGTTAGTCAACTGTGCCGAACATCATTCGGTGTCTTGAAGCAATTATTTCCTCATAGGAAAAGTATGAATACTGGTCTCCAGCTGAAGTTATGCGAAACCTTACTGTGTCTGTATTTATGGGCCTGCACTAAGATCGATTGAGATAAGGAGGCTTCAGACTATTCAAAATGTGTGTCTCAGATTTGCTTTGGAGTGAGAAAATTTGAGACAGTGTCACGTAAATATCGTGAGCTGGGTGTTCAAAATATAGAAGAGCTACAAGAAACGCACGTATTGACCTTGAGCCATAAGGTAATCACAACAGAAGCCCCTCCATATCTATCAACCAAATTTATCAGATACTCAGATGTTAATCAACGGAACACAAATAGTAGGCATATCTTGTTATCCCGATATATTCAACATCTCTATTTAAAAGGTCGTACGTATATACTGCTATAAAGCTATTTTACAACACGTTGCCTACCGAGTTCACTCGCTCTATAAAGAATTTCAAAAGAAGGTTGAAGCATTTTATCTCTGATTTCATTGCCCAGTAAGTAGACCATGGCCATGAATAGGGACTCGTACAGTTTTTTTATTAACTTTTTTGTTTTCATTGGGATTAGAAAATTTACACAAATATTTGTTGGGTTAAGTTGAAAAACGCTTTTTAGCGACACTTCGCCTTTGTATACTTTGTATAAATAAATCCGGATTATTATTATTATTATTGTTATTATTATATACAGTGCTTTAATTTAATGTTCCCCTCCCCTTTGATTTTTTGAACGGATCAAAGAATTAAAACTTGAGGTTATGAAATTGAAACGTGGATACCATATTTTAGAATAAAATTGACAGATGAAAGTGTCAAGATGGCCGCTAGGCGCCATCTTGGAAAGAACGAAAGCTAAATGAGAATATTTTAACTGTAGAATGATGTTTGTTTTCGTACTGATATTCTTGTCACTGACAACAAAGAAAACAAGTTTTTATCGCTGTTGCTGTGGATACGGCAGGGAATTGCGATTTGTAGAGATATGCATGTTAGTAGGCTTGTATTCGAGTAACTATTAAATGTACCACCATTCTGTAGTAGGTAAAGGTATTGGCTTTATATTCTAGGGTTATAAAGTACTCGTCAGGAGCTTCAAAATGATGTGCCACAAGACCCCAGTTTTCATATAAATTTTTTTCCAAGATGGCGCCCAGCGGCCATCTTGACATTTTCATCTATCAATTCTACTCTAAAATATGGTATCCACGCATCATTTTCATTACCTCAAGTTTTAATTTTTTGAATTGATCCGTTCAAAAGATCAAAGGGGCCGGGGACATTAAAGAAAGGCACTATATATATATATATATATACAGGGTGACTTTGAAGTTGAGTCATTTATTTTAACAGTGAGTAGATCTGATCAAAAGAAATGTTTTTTTCCTTTACCATTTTTCTGGTAAAATTAAAGTAACAAAGTTATAGCCCTTTGGAAGTTTGAGTACCGCCCTGTCTCAATAATATCGTGTGCTCGTGTTTGGCAACAACGGATATAATCCGCCTTATCGGTTCATCGCATCGGAAACAAAAAAGCGAAAGAATTTGGAACGATGTTTTTACAATTATTTTATTCAGTTCAGTTATACATACAGTCAGTGTCAGTCGGTAAAGCGTGTGAATAGTGTCTGTTGCGTGGCTCAAATGAAATAAAAAATGGCACATGTTTATGCGGATCGGTTTCCCAATCGAGTGCAACCAACCCCTCGTGCCTTTGTTAATGTAGTACAACGGGCTCGTGAATCAGGTGTCTTAAGACCTCACAGGGGACCTCACGATCAAATACAGGTCCGCACTGAAATACTTGTCGGGAGGATACTTTATAAAACAAGATCAACATTTTTTTTTAATTTTTTTTTTATTTTTACACACATATTTTGGTTTATCTTCCTTCTACAATCATTATCTGAAAATTAATGACTCAACTTCAAAGTCACCCTGTATATATATACAGAGTTTTTCTGAACTATGGGATCAAATTTGTAGGGGTTATTCAGTGTAACAGTAGAAAGCATTTGACTATAGGGAGCCATATCTGGAAAAGTGTCACTAAGGCACTACGGCCTTAAGGCACGTTAAAATTTAGAAAGACGATGAATTGCCTAAATAGGATTGAATGCATTTATTTGTTGTTTAGTTGTTCAAAATATCTTCCTCCAACCTGAATACACCGATTTAAACGTCGCACATGATTTCGGCGGACTTGATTAAAAGTTTGATACTCGTTGTGAATGATTTCAAATGCTGCTGTAATTCATCCAATTAAGTCTTGCTCTGTTTCTAATGGAGTTTCGTAAACCAAAGACTTTACATGTCCCCACAGGAATGGTGTATTCAGGATGGTGGAAGACATTTTGAACAATTGTTGTGATGATATCATGTACAAAAGGCAAAAATTAAATGCCTTAAATCCTATTTAGGCAATTCAAAGTCTTTCTAAATTTTAACCTGTCTTAGGGTTGCCGTAGTGACACTTTTCCTGATATGGGTCCCCCTATACTCAAATGTTTACTACTGCTACACTTAATAACCCCTTCAAGTTTGATCCCATAGTTCTGAAACACCCTGTATATATAATGATAACACTGGCTCACCTAAGTAGAGGAGTGATCTGTAAATTTTAGCGATTTAATAAGGTTTACTCAAATATTGGATACATAGACCTAGGTACTTCTAGTCAAATAATAATAATAATAATAATAATAAATGCCTTTATTTCCAAACAGTTTTCAAAAAAAAAAAAATCAGAAAGAGAAACATGAGTATTAACCAAAAAAAAAGAAAATATAAACAAAAAATAAATAAAACAAATGTCGACTGTCTGAAAACCACAAGGGGGAGTTCACTATCTAGTGCTCTTCCACTCATCCCTTGGAATTGTAAGAAACATTATGCCAGTAGATTCATCCATCAACCATATAAAAACATCAATATGAACAGCATGTAAGTTTTTAAAAAAAAATAAGATAGAACAGTGAGACATGTGGTAATAGATTTAAAAAAAAAGAAAGTCTAGAATAATATATATACATATATATATATATATATATATATATATATAGGTATACATACATATATACCCATACATACCGCATAAACAAACGCCAATATGAGCGACAATTAAGTTTGAAAAACAGAGCAAAGAGAAAACGTGGTGGTAAATGTAAAAGTCTAGAATGATATACAAATACATATACGTACATTTATGCATCATATGAAAAAAAAAATATAAATAAAATAATGGAATGCAAACAAAATATAATTGAAATTCCGCAGTAAGAATAATTCTACTTTATACATTCAAGGTAAGAATCACGCAAAACCGCTTTGAACTTGTGAATTTCATATGATTTGAGGTAATGGGGGATAGGATTGTATAGCTTATATATATTATACGTAAATGATCTTTCATAAAATTTAGTTCTGTGGAATGGAGCGGTAATGTTTTGTTTCGAACGAATATTTACGGAATGGATGTCTTTTCTGAATGTTATTTTCTCGTAGAGGTAATGCGGCTGCCTGAGAGTTAAAATTTTATGATAAAAGCATATTGTGAATATCTCAAAACGAGCCTTCATATTTAGCCACCGGAGTTCTTTCAGCTTATGCCTAACTCTTTCAAATTTTCTTATGCCATATATAAAACGTATGCATGAGTTCTGTGTTCTCTGTATTCGCATGAATGTATCACAATCTAAACATGCAGAATAAATTGGAACACAGTACGAAAACTGTGATAAAACCAAGGTTTCGCAAAGAATTCTTTTGATGTCTAAATTGAGAAAATTTCGGTGAGGATATAATAATTTTAGAGCCAGATAAGATTTTTTGATACAGTTTGATATGTACTCACGAAACCTCAGATTATAATCCATTGTTAAGCCTAAGTTTTTAACTTTATCACAGTATTTTAATCTAATATTATTTATGGTTATATTTAAATTCTCAATCACATAAGAACGGTCTTTACCAAAGATCACAGCAGCTGATTTATTTGGATTTAATATTAATGAATGCTCTTGTAATCTTTTAGAGAGGTTAGTCAAGTCACTGTTTATTTTCAACTCGGCAGCTGGCCAATCTGAACTAGGAAAAGAATAGTACAGCTGGGTATCATCCGCATAAATGTGTGACTTACAGAATTCCAAACATTTAAGGATCTGACTGGTATATATAGTGAAGAGCAATGGTCCAAGTATAGATCCTTGCGGTACACCTGTGGTAGTGGGCTTTGAACTAGATATTTCATTCCTCAGTTGTACACACTGTGATCTGCCACTTAAGTATGAATTAAAAAGTTTTACGCTGTCAGTAGACAATCCACATGACTTTAAGATGGACAGCAAAACATCATGGTTAATTGTGTCAAATGCCTTGCTGAAATCTAATAGTATTAAAGCGGTAGACTCACCCAGATCATTCGACTGAATGATATCATCAGTTATTTTAGCAAGTGCAGTGGTGCAACAGTATCCTGGACGAAAACCTGACTGTGTTTTAGGAAGGATACTTTGACTTTCAATATGTGTTCTTAATTGTATTTCAATAATTTTTTCAACCAATTTCGAGAGACCAGCTAGAATATTTATTGGACGAAGATCTGATAGCTGTTCAGCTTCCTTACATTTTGGAATTGGCACTATTAAGGCCACTTTCCAGCACTTTGGATATTTTCCCTCCAAAAAAATTGTTTTAATAAGATGTACCAAATATGGTAAAATATACGGGACACACAATTTGACGAGATGTATGCTAATGCCATCATTTCCTGGTCTGGTGTTTTTTATCCTACTTAATGCGTCAAATACATCTTGCTCAGATACCAATTTGAAATTGAACTCTGAATTACATATTTTGTTTTGATCATAATATATAGCAATATGATTACCAGACGCCACACGAGGTATGCTGTCAATAAAAAAGTTATTTATATGTTCCACATCTTGCAAATCAATAGGAATATTTGACTTCTGTGACTTAATACTAAGCGAATTAAGTTCTCGCCACAAAGATTTCTTATCCTTACTCTGAGCAATTTTATCAAAATACTTTCTTTTTTCATGTAGAATAGCATGATTGGTTTTGTTTTTTAGTTTTTTATATGCATTCCAATTTGAATCGTTCGGATTTTTTCTATACTTAGACCTCGCTGCATCCCTACTACACATCAAATTCCTTATATCATCCTTCAGCCAGGGAGCTTTAGGCTTAGTGATTTTGGACGTTTTCAAAGGAATGTGCTTGTCAAACAAAGTTAGAATTAAATGATTGAACAGGTTCACCTTTTCGTCAATATTTGACAAGTAACATATGTCAATTAAGGGAAGATTTTGCAAATCAGCATGCAATTTATCCATTTCAAGACTCCTAAAGCTCCGATAAGTGTAAAAGAGTGGTTCAATTTTTTGTCTATCTTGTAGTACCTTACACGAAATCAGTTCATGATCTGTTGCTTAGATTCGATCATTAAAGGATCGTTGCAAAGAATAACATCTATTAATGTAGCCGATGTATTAGTAATATGAGTAGCTTCTTCTACTATTTGCTCTATACCTGTAGAATCTAACATTTCAAGCATATAATTTGTAGGTGCAGCCTCAGTGTCGAGGAAATTTATATTTACGTCTCCTAGGCATATCACTTTGTCCTCACGGAGCATAGCCACACATAAAGATTCTTCAAGTTCATCGATAAAATATTTATAATTGAAATGTGGTGGTCGATATACTACTCCAACTGCGTATGATTTACCTTTAAGTGAAACTGAGACCCAAAGTTGTTCAATATTATGTGAAACCTCAATTTGTGAATATTTCAACTTACTATCTATATACAAACCTACTCCTCCACCCCTGGTACTTCTGTCAAACCTAACAAGATCATAACCTTGAATATATACTGTATCATCGCTTATACTGTAATTCAACCACGTTTCTGATAATGCAAACATAGCATATTTCTTAGAAAGTATATGTTGCCGCAAACTATTAAATTTAGGAACAAGTGAACAGACATTGAGGTGTCCAATCAAAAAATCCATCGCTAAATACAATCAACTGTATATCTATATTCAGAGCTAAAAAAAAATAGCAAAAAACAAAATATATGTAATGAATCGTAACAATACACACAAGTTCAAATAATACCAAACGTTGAGAAAAAAAAAATACCCCAATACAACATAGCTATTCATTCACACTAAACTTCTCCACTCCCTTGTCAGTTTTTACAAAAATGTTGCCATTAACCGTCCACACGTTCTTGAAACCAAACTTATCAGAAGCTGCTTTAACTACTTTCAACCGATGCGGAGTTAGATCTTCCTTAATAACTATCTTAGTGCCTTTAAGAAACTTTTTCTTATTATACGTTGCCATCTTAATCGAATTGTCAGTAAACGATACCAAAACATGCCTAGGTTTTGTATCGCTACGGCGACCAACCCTATAGACAGCAGTTATCTCCGATTTGTTAATATTCACTTTCATTTTATTGGTGAAAATATCGTAAACCTTGTCAGTAAGAATTTCTCCTTCCGCCTCTGGAATTTGTATCAGCCTCAAATTATTACTCTTCATATGTTGTTGAATATTGTCTAGTTTTTGCTCCATAGTTTTTTGGCCACCTTCTTTTGACATACCAGTAGATTCATTGAAATTTGTTTTTAAATTTACTATTTACGTGATACGTTATTATTTTATAGTGCTGGTGTAATTTGTGATTATTAAATCAATAGCATAAACTCACCTCAATCTAACAGCACACAAGTGGTGTAATGATGCTAAACCTCGTTACACTAGATATATTTTATCAATATGCAGTTTGTTATTAATATCATGCTATCTCTTTAGACTTTACAAAACAAATGGATTCTTGATGAATTTTATCCACATTGCCATAATTAAAATATCGGATTGTGAATCTTTTCCAAGATAAACTGGACTTCAAGTGAAAAACACTTCTCAATAGCAAGCGTTTAACGCCGACGCTTCTACTGATACTGGAGCGGTCTTTCAAAGGATCTGACGTCAACACTTGCACCTTCATTTACAAGGCCAATCCTTGAGTTTGCTGGCATGTATGGGAAATTGTGCATTTGCGCGACAGAAGTCACCTAGAAGCGGCACAGCGTCAGGCAACTCAAATCGCAGACCCAGCTACGAGGATCGTCTCGAATTATTCCACTTGACCACATTCTCCAATCAAAGAATTCGAGGAAGTCTCATAGTTACTTTTAGAGTATTTCATGGCTTGATTAGCACCAACCTACAGTACCTATACCAACTGTCGCGCAGCAATCTCCGCGGTCACAGCATTAAACTGCAAAAGGAGCCGTTAGTGGTTCCTCCCCAATCGAACATTCAACACCTGGAACAACTTACCAGAAACTGTGGTTAATGCTACGTCAGTCAACAGATTCACAGTGGATTATGATCGGTGTTCCACCTACAACAGTGAGCAATCTCTATAGCTATGAACTCTTTGTGTTTATTTGATGTATTTTATGTTACTTGTCCATATACTACGTTTTCTCTTTGTACATGCACTCATTTCTATTCTGTAGTAATGATGAATAAGCCTAGTATAATATAGTTAGATATTTGTATGTGAATTGGGAATTGCAACATGCCTCCGTGTACCTTTGGAAAATTTCATTAAGTTTGTCCCATACTTTGCAATCATGCTTAAAAGTCATTTATGAGATGGACATATCTCTTGAGAGACATATCTTCACTAAAATATGGGCTTTGACATTTGAATCCATATAAATTCTTATCAATGTTTCCATTTTTTAAATAATCGCTAAATTGTAATAAAAATACATAGAAAAATGAATTTTCTTTCAAATTCACTTTTTCAATATATATTGCCTTAAAGTATTTAGCTTAGCACTTAGTACTTTGTTATTGGAATGGAAGTTTTCTAGATTTCTCATAAAATAGAAAGTATATACGTTGAATTTTTTGTAAGAAATACTTTATAAATCATCATGTGTTCTGAAATTAAAGCAGGCCAGGCTACTTTCAGACAAATCGAGGAAAGTAGGACTTTTGCAATTTTTAAAATGCGATGTTTTCACCAAGAGCAATTGATTTCCACTAAGATTAACTGTCCCAAATATTTTGATTCTTGAAAGTATGTATCTATCAATTCATTCCGTGGAAGACTGAGCATTTCTAACCGTTCTAAACCACTGGACCAATTTTATTATCTGAACACATTATTTCCAGTAGTGCTCAAATCGATCCACCATATCGTTGGACATCTGACAATACCTGCTATCTGACAATTTGAGGTATATGCACATTTTTCTTCGTCTACCTACAGCGCACATTGTGATAGAGGCCACTAGCTGCAGAAAAATTTAGCTTTTGAATTATTCAGCCAAAACAATACCTACCAGTGGCAACACGTCTGTCAATGAGCGGCAATTCCAGCTATCTGACAATTACGCTAGCCATTTTTCTTAACTTTGTAATGGAACACGACGTTATGATTTCTCAGAAATATCTCACCAAAGGACACACCCAAATGGAATGTGAGTCTGTACACAGTTGCATTTAAAGAAAACTGAGAAATAGAGTTATTGAATTACCAAATGACTATGTTAAAGCGTCAAAAGAAGCTAGTACAAAACCAGAGCCATATAAGGTGATCCAATTGATAAGTGTTATATCTAGGAACTGTCACATGTTTTACAACAATTTGCCCTATGTCAAGGAAAGAAGCTAAATCATTTAAGGTGTGACTGAGAATGCTATTTGATTTGTAAAAGCATTAAACTTTTAATTTGATATAATGAATAACAGTTTTTCTAACACGAATCTCTCTAAATCCATCTATGCATCATAGTATACTAGCTGCTAACTGCAAAGAAAGTTAGCAGAAATGTCAGCTATCTGCACTAATTTTGTCAATTAGAGCTTCATTTAGATAAAAACGCATTAAATATGTGTTAAACGTCATTTATTTTTTGTGAGCAAAGGTTTAGAGTCTTAAGGCCAATAGTATAAAATTGATAAGGTTTTTTTCGTCCCCTGTAAAATTACTGTTCCTGCATATAGCAGGTATTGTAAGATGTCCGACGATATGTTTCTCCGTACATTTGCCCTTGAACTTGAAAAATGGAGAGAAATGTTGATACGCGTTTCTGCTTCTCCTTCCTGGGTTCACCAGCGGGCATCCCGGCCTCGATGAGTCTCTTTCTACTACTGCCGCTGTGACGTGCTGTCGCATCATGCGGACCGGTATGTGGAAGGAGCGACGTTGCCAGATAGACGGTATTACCGGTAGGACACGGAAAGAATGTCTTTCGACAAATTGTATGGGCCTGATTGACTGGCTTGATCCACTTAATTTAAATGTTTTATATGTCATTAGTTAAATTAAAATATCAGGCGTAAAGGTCCTTGATAGCAAATCAAAAAGTTTTGAATGACACAAGATTAAACAACTATTCAATCGGCCACGAACGTAATGATGAAGAAAACATGCAGGTTGTTCACTATCCAATGAACTTGATTACGACCAAATTACGCAAACATAATCACTGTTTATTATGCATTAAGGCACGTTCACTAATGATATCACGGTGATGGCTTTAAAGGATTAACGATTGTTGTGTGATTTCTAGCTCTATCAATGCGGACCTGAGGTTCATATTAATATCGACCTTTGAGGGCTATCTGCCAATTGGGGGTTGATCAACTCTTGGAAGATCAATAACGCACCCTTGTGTAATCCTCAATAGGAGATTCAATATTTGGAGTAGGCTGTAAGAGCCTTTTTAAAAATTTTGAGGTTTTTGATATTTTCGTGATTCCCAGTTTTGAAAATTAACATTTTATTTATTAATTTGAAATTACCAAATATGTAAAGTGTCTTAATTTTTTGTATAGTTTGGAACTTTTAAAATCAGTAAAAGTAAAAAAATCCTAACAACTCTTAGTGTCACAGTAAGAGTTGAAAGCAATGGAAACCCAAATGCATATGACTCAAGTTGTCGTTGATATTAGCTAATTTTTGACAGGATTTCGCCTCTGGTGGTACTCTGTGATTCAGTCCTTAAGGATCGACTATGAATGTAGTAGTTTTCCAGCATATTCTGTAGCTTTTAGTCTTAACTAATAGTTATACGGCTGTTCAAATATCGCGCCACTGTGTGCATGGTGACTTCACCGATTTTTGGTCAATCCCGTAGCGATACCACGTCGTATATAATATTTCGATCCAGTGCAGCGGCGGTCTTTTTTGCCCTTGTCGTAATTCAATAATATTTTGCAATGTGCCGTTGAGCGGAAGCAGGACGTGCGATTGTCTCTAGTTCGACTGAAACATTTATTAGAAGCAGAAGCGCACTCGACTGCGGTTCCATAACGAGATTTGCTTTTGCCATGCTCTTACTTCTGCTACTGCGGGTTTTATATCGACTGCTTCTCCTACTTCTACCGGGTGGTATTCACAAGCTAATTTTACTTTCCGTTTGTATCCAAATATGGAACCAGCTTAGTACCATGCGGCCAGATGCTCTTCTGGTCCTGATGATATTCTGACGTCACCACGACAATTGCTGGTTTCCTATGAATTAGGTCTTGAATCAGCAATGATATCGTAGCCAACGAATTAGCTCAGCTCGTAGGTGTAGACACACGCACTTTATGGAAACGTTCAACTTGCAGTACAGTGAATGAAAAAACTACTGGCGACGTTAAAATACTGTTCCAGGACAAACAATCTCAAGAAACAGAAAAACATCAAAAACCATGAAAGCAGCTACTTCACATATCATAATATGTGAAACATTAATGAAATCTAAAAAAACATATACAAATTTATGCCGGCGTAATATAAGTGTAGTCTAAAGTGCTCGCTAGCTTACTGGAGGCAGCATATGCTCCAGGATAACAACCGTACATATACAATATATTGAACGTAGTCTTGTAGGAAGTGTAAACGATAGGATCGGCTTTGCCTGGTCACGATGCGTTAATGAGTGGTGTTATCAGTCCGAATCAATGTATACGGAATCAATAGGCAGTCGTCATCAAGTCAGTCTTTCCATTTATACCACCTATGATAACCAGCAGTATACTTGTAGTCACACAATGTATGACATTTGGAGGTCATTTTGTATTCACTGGTGAGAACAGTGAGTTTGTTGTCAAATAATTTGAAGCAACTTCGTCCACTATGGTTTTGAGAACGATAACATAGGTGTGGGATTTCTAGTTTCATGTACTGATATAGTTGAAAAACAACATTTTTATGTTGTGCTTGGCTCCTGAAGTATATGCAACATTTAACTTAGAATCATCTGACTGTGGTTTCATGTGGGGGCAAAAGCAACTATAAACAAATTGATGATAAACGGACGAAGTTACTGACTTAGTTTTACCTAAATAGTACGATGCCAGTGACCCAATAATTCTTAATTATGTACCTGAATTTAGGTTTCCGCCTTGTTATAATAGCAGTAGTAGCACTTTTTATGATGATCTTAATATTTTTAATGGAAAATCGAATGTGCTTTTTATAAGTGGGTGATAGTACGAACAATTTTTGTAATGGAAAAATAATAGCACACATTACACGCCACCTTTGCGTGCAATCGTAGTTAAAATCCGTGTGATTTTAAGAATGCTGCATTAAAAAACGTTATATTACTTGCACGTACCACTACCTTATCAGACTGATAAGAATTTTAAAATGACTTGAACGAGGGTACAGAGTTGGAATAATTTTTATGGTATTTTTAGTGCTTTTCACGGGTGAATTCTTTCACGCGCTATCTAACACTCCTGGCTTTGGTGTCATACTGTATGTGTTGTTGAAGCTTCGGTACTATTAGGGATTTTGACACTGTCGACATATACGTATGCCGGTCCCGTTTGCGTGGCTGCCTCTAATTAGGGAGGTATACAAACTAGCATAGCCAAGACCTTATCAGACGTCCTTGATAACAGACATTCTTCACAGGTATTGG